TCTCTGTCTCTGTCTCTGTCTCTCTCTCTCTCTCTGTCTCTCTCTGTCTCTCTCTCTCTCTCTCTGTCTCTCTCTCTCTCTCTCTCTCTCTCTCTGAAATGGAGAGATCTACATTTGAGGGAGGGAGGTCCATGGAATTTGGCTTGGATTTTTTACCTTCAGAGAACTCATCTCGCTCTTGCTGTGACATTATTATGATGATGATTAGTATGATTAGCATCATATTAATCATCACGCTGCGAGTGTGGGAACTGGGCAAGGCACCCCCAGGAGGGGGCCCAAGAAGGGACCCAAGGTAATTCTGCTGATGATGCACGGCTCCTAATGGTACTGCTTGAGCGATTTGTTTTCTTTTTTTTTCCGCGGTTTAGGCGGGGAACGGGGGCGGGGAGACCACTGCATTCTTATGTGCCAGAAACATGGAGATCCGGCGAACGGCAGTGATCATTCATCCAGATGGAGATCCGGCGAACGGCAGTGATCATTCATCCAGATGGAGAACCGGCGAACGGCAGTGATCATTCATCCAGAAGGACCTGTCAGTCGTGCGGAACGAGGAGAGAGGAGGGAGGAGGGAGTAGCTTCACCCACAGCGACTCCGATTGCGGGAGATTGGAATAGTTGTTGTCAACCAACCTTATAATGAGTCAGAACTTTTTTTTTTTTTTTTTTTTTTTGTTTCGGAACTTTGAATCGATTAGAATTTTGAATCAAATTGAATTGAATGAATTGATAAAAATCGAAAGAACACTTGTCTCCTCTTCCCTAGCGTCCTCCTCCTCCTCCTCCTCCTCCTCCTCCTCCTCCTCCTCCTCCTCCTCCTCCCCTGCTGGTGGTTGGTGCTTTTGATAGTGGCCTTTTTGTCCTCCTCTCCCTACAACTCCTCCGCCTACTACTCCTGCTGCTGCTGGTTGCTGCTTTTGACAGTAGCCTTTTTGTCCTCCTCTCCCTATAACTCCTCGTCCTCCTCCCCTTGCTGCCGGTTGATGCTTTCGATAGCCAGCCTTTTCGTCCTCCACTCCCTACAACGACTCCTCCACGTGCTCCTCTCATGAGCACTCTTTCACTCCTCCTCCTCCTGCCCCCCTCCCGTTGCCTCTTTCCTTCGCTTCCCGAATCGTCCTCCTCCTACTGCTGCTGCTTCTCTCCCTCCTGCTGGTTGCTTTTCCTCCCCCTCTCCCCTCGACTCCCAGGTCCTCATCCTCCTCCTCCTACTCCTCCCGGTCCCTCCAGTTTTCCTCTTCCCTCACATCTTCCCTCTCCTCCTTTTTCTCCCCTCCTCCTCTCACCTCTGCATGCGCCGCAAGTTGTATGCATTCATAATGTGAGGGCGCGTAAAAAAAAAAAAAAAAAAAAAAAAAGTGAGGGTGCGTTTAGCTTGTGGAAGACAGCAGGTCTATTGTTTGCTAGGCGAGCGCAGTGAATGATTTTTTTTTTTTTTTTTTTCAAAAGGATAAATGATATTTCTCTTCTGCATAGTGGGAAAAAAAAAAAAAAAAAAAAAAGGTTGATTTGAGTTTTGATTTTTTTTGCAAGGAAACATGCAAATATTAAATGATAATTTCGCCGATTTAGGGAGGGAAAAAAAAAAGGAGCAGAAAATAAAAGCGAAATGCACACCAAATACTACAAATAGGGTCAAGCAACACACGGTAGTCTCGTGATAAAGAAAGCCTCTCCACCGCCTCCGATTATCAATACAACGACAATGTAGCATTCCTTCAGCCGGCCTGACCGCGCTTCCTATTTCCTAATCTCCTACCCGCCTAACCTATCTACATGTCACACTCTGTCCACGTTTCAGTCACCCAATGGTGTTTGAAGACTCTGGTCACACAGGCTCCTTTTGTCACGCCAGGTCCGTGCCTTGTTCCCCACTGCCTCCCTTCTCTCTCCTCTCGATCACCACACCTCCTCCATTCGGCAAGCTTGCGCCCAGCCAGCTATGGTTGGTGCCTTCTTCTTCCTGTGGCTGCCACCACAGCAGCATCTCCCCTTTGCACACAGCGCTCAGCGACTACGCACGAGCAGCGGTGCCGCATTGCGTGAATGCCCGAATGTAAGAGTCTGGGCGGTCTCCAGACTTTTGTGTTTGATGGGACCCCCCCCCCGCCCAGAGGCCGGTCGGTTCCTAGTACCCAATGCCTGGGGGGGGATATTAGGAGGCTGTGCAGACCCAGCCTCTGCAGCCAACTCATGGGCTGGGCCAACTGGTTGGTTGCAAGGGGGGTTGGCCAGTGCCAGCCACCTAGGGCCCCCTCACATCGGCATTCACTTACGACCAGCTTGCATTTTCCTGCCCCACCTTCGCTGAGACTGCGCAGGGCCTTTTCAGCATGATTAAGGGCCCAAAAAATCCTCACATTCCCTCCCCCTCAGGTTCGGAACCCCTATGAGAAATTCAGAACCCTTCATTTGAGCCCTCAGGTTTAAACCACCAGTACTTGGGCACTGCGCGCCGCACCGGCCGCCCAAATCTCGAAGCAGCGCGGGCTGTAGATTCGATTTATCGACGGCCCGCCGGCCGCGGAAATCGTGTAGCGTTAACGCTAAGGCGTCGCCCAAGTACTGGTGGTTTAACGCCTGTTCATACTGATGGAAGCACAATCCGTGGTTGCGGTCTTTTTAGGATCCAGGTGATATAAGAAGGCCACCCTGTACTTCTTAAAGAACCCCAAAGGCCGCTTCTATTCTGGGGGGCGTCAGTCCGGTTGCTTATCACCAGCAAACATGATTTCAAGAAAGAGAAAGTAAAGAAATGTGGAGATAAAAAATAAATAAATGAAAATGTGGATGACGGTTTTTGAACTTTTTGTGCATATCCCTTTTTTTTCTTTTTTCTCTTTTTTGGTGGTGGTGGGGCGGGGGGGTTGGAGAGGGGGGGTTGGTTCTTGTGCATATATTCTTGTTTATGTGAGATACACGTGGAGTGGATCATGGGTCATGTTAATTTAAAGGTATAATAATAATTTGCAAAACACCCCCATAAGTTGAGATATATGCCAAAATGCCCCTGAAAGATGTGAGTAGAGCGAAATATGCCCTTTTGGGCGCAAATTCTGTGTTATGCCCCCTGCCAGGCTGGTGCGCAAATTTGCAATCTTGACCTTCCCATTTGGGCCTGGGCATTTGCAATCAGGCCTTACAAAAGCTGGCAAGTACTGGGGCATTGTGCAAAGTTGGATGGTACCCGGTAGGGGTATATTGCAAAGATGGAGGGTCCAATCGACACAAGGGGAAGTTCACAAAAGTTTTTTTTCTTGTCAGAGCCTCAGAGGGACATTCCACTCTAGTCACATCTTTTAGGGGCATTTTGACACATATCTCAACTTTTTTTTTTTTTTTTTTTTTTTTTTTTCACATATCTCAACTTATGGGAGTATTTTACTATTTTTTTTTACTATTTTGGGGATTATTATCTCTAATTTAAAAAAGGGGTAATTAGGGCGCAGTCACTATCTCAGTTTAAACTTTAAAATCCTTTTCGGGCATCCCTCCAATAGAACACATCCCCACCGGACCCTAAAGCGGGGTTGTATGCATTCACGGTTTTCCTCGCTTTATGCATTCACGGTTTTCCTCGCTTTGGCACAACATTCGCGAAATCGTGGCTGAAACACATTTTCAAACTGAAACCATGACTGCGCCCTAGTTTTTCCTTCAGAAAATCTTGGAAGAATGCTCTCCGACCGCGTTGGATGATGGCCTTGGGGAAAAGGGGATCGGAAAAAGGGATCTTTTTCTTTTCGGGGGGGGGGGGCGGGAGGGGAACAGGAACTGCATAAGGGAGTGTACTGTGAGGAGTGATAAGTGCATCCCCTCATAGTAGGTCCTGTAGATGTTTAGGGCCTCCAATCTCTATAGCAGATTGAGAACGGTGCAGAAAGTGCTGACGCACAGATGCAATGTGTTGTTCACTCATGGCGAACATAGATAGACCGTAGTCAAATCGAAACGAAACGCTTTTGCCTTAGAAAATGTCGATACAGCAAGGCATAGCAGCTGCGCGACTACGTCATACGCAAGCGCACAACTCGTCGTCACACCTGGCTTTCCCCGATGCGTTTCGGCTGGTGCCAGGCCCAGCCTCCTCAGGGGGGCGTTCCGAAAAGCGGACCTATCTAAATTGTCTCGCGGCTGTTAATACCGGAGCAAAAGCAGGAAAAAAAGCACACCCACGAACAGACAGCAAAACAACAAAGCGAACCAAAAAGGTTTCCGACCTAACGTCCCTACTTAGCTAATTAAGCTCTCCCCCAAAGGAAAAACTCCAATAGCTACGAACCGTCAAATCCGACATGCTAGCCTACCCTTCTTCAACCCTTCCTGGTTCTTGGTACCTTCAAAAACGCATCACCTAATTTCCCAGGTAACCCTTTTTGCCAACTGGCCCCAGTCCGGGGCCTTTTTTCGAACGAACTTCCACAGAGTACCGT